GCAGGGGGTTCTGTCGTCCCCTATACTAGGGGTAAAGAACGTACATCAGAAGATTCCCCCATCACTGGATATGTTAGATAATGCTGATTGATTGTGAACAGTTTTCCAACTGCAGCCACATACTTCATACTCCTGTCCTATACCTTTTCAGGACAAGCACCAACAGATACGTTCTTGGAGCAGGGGGTTACAATCCAGTGGGGGGCAGGATCACAGGCAAGGCTGAGACTCTCTTGTTCCCAAGAAACAGGCCTTAGGGAAGTCATTTAAAGTTTTCAGAATGGTGGAAAACATGTAAGCCAGGAAAATAGCACTATTATGAAGAAGGAGCTGTGATTCTCTGGAGAACACTAGAAGGCCCCACAAGGAGACCAAATTTGGCCCTGAAAGTCTGATGTGCCGCAACCTTGTAGAATACTAACTTCCTCTTTGCTTTCTGGAAGAGCCTATGGTAGATCTTGAACTATATCTGGGTATGGGGGATTTGTAGAGGGCCTAATATGGCCAATGGGGGAGGTCGCAGGAGTGGAAGCTCAAATCCTCTGGAAGGCACAGATTTTGGGAAAGCTGCACTAGAATTTTAAGCAAAAAAAAAAGCATATGGAAAACTTCCAAGAGCTGTTACTTACGCTGAAGGATATTCCTTTGTTCCAGTTCTTCTGGTGTTGGTCTTTGACTTAATCGCCTGATTTAAAAGAAGCAAATATGCAAATGCATTATTGTGAGAACCAACACACAGTGGCCATAGGAAATGAGTCTAGAAGAGGGTTTTGAAATGAAAGATTTGCATTTAATCACACTGTAAAATAGAAGCAGGCAGACTTCAGGTTTTGCAGGACTTGCTCAAAACTCAAATAGTTAACTTTATAGGATTGTAACACTACAATGGCCATGCTGGTGGGTGGGTTCTAAGAATCCAGAAAGTAACTTTTATTAGCTCCTGATTGACTTCCTCCCCTCCAAATCTCAGGGCTTATCAAACCGCTGCCATGCAAAATGGTAGCAGTAAGAAATGGAGGGGGGGGTGAAATAAAATTAGAATTACTGTATTTTTCCGTGTATAAGAGAATACTTTTGTCTAAAATCTTTAGACTAAAAATTGAGGGTCGTCTTATACACGGAAGTAAACTGAGGGGAGAACAAAAACAAGTGGAGGAGAAAGCAGGAATCAAAGCGATCCTGCAGCGCTTTGATCCCTTTCCCCCTACACTTGCTAAGCCCCACTTATTTTTCTTAATTTTGGATTAGAAAAGTAGGGGGCATCTTCTACATGGGGGCATTTTATACATGGAAAAAATACGGTAAGCATCTTGAGAATAAGTGAAAATCAGAATTAAACCATAAAGAATCTAGCACTTTAGCTGTCTGTGTTCGCCAGTTCAGCAGTTGACCAGTACACTTCCTTCAATAAGAAAAAGGGGCCTTACTTGCTACCTCAGAAAAATGTTAGAGCAGTACAACAATGAAAGCAATTATCTTAGGAGGCGGACCAGCCCTCCCATCTGGAGGCATTCAAGAGATGGTTAGACAACCATCTTCCAGATTTGCTTTGATCTGACTTCCTGCATTGAGCAGGGAGTTGGACTCAATGCCTTTCAACTCAGTTATTGTGTTCTATGATGGGACTTCAGCAATCAGCTGGGCCACCTTCTCCAGTCTAGAGAGGCCTTTAAAGAAGGGGCCATGCAAATCATGCCAGCCTCATTTTGTACATGAGGCTACTGAGTTGTGGTTTTGTTTTAAAGAAGTAATACTCAAATATTATTCGTGGGAGACTGGAGCCAGAATATATTTTCAGGTATGTAGAGAATGATTTGAGTACAACAATAACCACTGAGTACGATCCTAGTAGTTACCTTGGATGAGGTAACAAGATCCGTGAGCCTAGTTTTGTCTCGACCTATACCTTCAGTATAACTTTCTTACAGTGTTATGCCAGAAAAATATAAGTGGGAGCAGCCAGTTTGTTCTTTATAAAGCAACGGTCTTCATCATGTGATTATTGATGGCTTTTCTTTCACCTTTTCAAATTATTATTCACATTTCAAATCAACACACAAAATGGAACAGAATGTTTCTCTAGGCACTGCATCACCCTGGGTATACTGACTATACTCTATTAACCGTATACTGTTGTATTTTTATATAGATCATTTAATTTTAAAGAGTTTTAATGTATTATAAGTATAAAACAGAATCCTTATAAATTTATGAATACACATTTTTTTAAATGTAGGATCCTATCCTAATAAATCCTTCAAACAACTCATGCAGTCCAACACTTCATTCCAGGTATAGCTTAGGAAAATTATTTTTTTTATACAGTGGTGCCTCACATAGCGAGGTTAATCCGTTCCGGATTAACCTTCGCTATAGCGAAACATCGCTAAACGGAATTAAAAAAGCCATAGAAACGCATTGAACTTTGTTCAATGCGTTCCTATGGCTTGAAAACTCACCGTTAAGCGATGTTTCTTCATAGCGCCGCCATTTTCGCGCCCTCGGTAAGCGAGGGCATGGCGCGAAAATGCGGCGCGGACCTTCCGGCGGCCATTTTGGAACCACCGATCAGCTGTTCTCCCTGGCTGCGTTGTGCAAAAATCGCTAATGCTCCAGCGATGGCCCAGAGTGCCTCGTTAAGCGATTTCATCGCTCAGCGAGGCACTCGTTAAGCGAGGCACCACTGTACTACAAATTCCTGCTTCACTGACAAGACTGCTCCAGTCCAGAGGGTGGGTAAAAACATAGTACTTGTGAAAACTGTAATAATATTTGGAGTCAAAAACATTTCATTTTCCTTAGGATATTATCTATGCTTGTCACAATTCTTCCTGGAGCCCAAAGCACACTTACTTACTTCCTCCCTCCCTTCCTACCTGATTAATGTTGTCCCAATCTGCTGCCGGATTTCATTCCACTCTTCCTTCGTCTTCCGGTGAAACATATTTTCTTCTGGCAGCTCCTGCTGAGGAGCCATACTGCCCAGTTTCATGGCTAGAGTATCTTTCCTCTTCACTTTGTTGGCTAGAGCCGCTTTGGAGACAGAAAGAAAGAATTAATCACAAAACATACAAAGCTGGCTGTCTTCCGTCAACCAATACTTCACTTTCAGACCCCATGATCACGAAATGTTTCTAGAATGGTAAGTCACGAAACATGAATGCAGTAAGGGAGCATCCAAAGCTAGATTAGGATATTCTTTTGCCTGAAGCAAAAAAACCTTGCGCCCTCTCCTATTTGAGAGACAACAGCCAACTAGACTGGCTCCCCACCCACACAGCGGTTAAAATCCTGTCACACAACTTTACACTGTCTAAGGTTGATGACATCATCAGTCACAGCCGTTTCTCAAGAATTACAAATTCCCAGTTCTTTCCAGCAAAGGATCCTTTTTCATTCTGGGAAAATCTGTGGGCTGATTTAATGTTCTAAAATTGCTGACGCTGGGATGATTTTACCACTGGTGGTGATTTTTAGACCTTCACGACTAATTTAATTCCTTAAAAAACGGATGTGGCTGATGATGTCCTCAGCTTTATGCCGTGATGTCATCAGCTTCATCTGGCTTATATCTGTACAACAAGATTTCAGCCTGTGAATCTTTCTTCAACATTGGTAATTAGAGAGCATCTTCCTAAGCCCCCTAAAGGCAGCAGACTAAATTACGGGCACAGGTCAAACTACATGTTACACAGCTGTCTCCTCCAACAGCTTGCTACCCAGTTTAGGAAAAATACACCACCCTGAAATTCTCAAATAACTTGGCCAGTGGCTATGCTGGGCAGAGGGATACTGGGAGCTGTAGTCCACAAAAGTAACTTTTCTGAGCGACTGCTTGCTGCCAATGCCCAGCTTCTGGCATTTGAAGCCACTGGCTTACTTTGCCCAATGGTAGGGCTAGCCTTTGGAGCATCTAACCCCACTGCAAGATGTACAAAGATATTAGCAAGCTTTAAAAAAACACTGTTCTTGTTCATTTATGATTCTGCATCTCATGATTTTTGAGAGGCTTACTGTTATGGCTTTCATCTTCATCATCTTCCTCCTCTTCCTCCTTGTACAAAATGGGTCCCTCTGAGTCAGAATCACTTGGCCCTTCATCTTCATCTTGCACTGTCTGGAGCACAAGCCTGGGAATGACGGTGACAGCTGGGGTGTCTCCAATATAAACACGGGGATTGGAATGATGCACATCATCTTGAGCTCCTTCCTCTTCCTCTTCCTCTGGCCTAACAAAAGAGAACACAGGTTTTTTGTCCCCCCTTTAAAAAAAAATCTGTGGGTTAATTGCTCTTCATTTCTAGATGCTGGCAAGAGATCTCTGGATTGGAGAAGCAGCGACTGAAAGAAGGCAAAGCAAAAGAACCTGCTAGGAGGTATGTTTTAAGAACCCAGTATGTGTATGATTGCAACTGCCAGAAGCATCAAGAGACTTCTAACTTCTTGTCTCATGATTAAAATTTAATATATGTTATCATCTCTGTAACATCCTGCTATAATGCACACAAAGGGGAGGATAGCAACCAAGGTTGCCAATAAAAGTGTGTGCTCTGTGTGTGTGTGTAGACCACAAAGGGGAAACTGATGCACTACAAAGCATTTGTGGCCCCTAGTGGTCTCCCATCTACAGTGGTGCCTCGCTTAACGGGCGCTCTGTTTGACGACGAAATCGCTAGATGTCAATGTTTTTGCGATTGCAAAAGCAATCGCAAAACGATGTTCCCTATGGGGGAATTTTGCTTTGTGATGATCAGTTCCCTGCTTCAAGTGATGATTTTCGACCAGCTGATCGGCGGTTTCAGAAATGGCTGCCAGGTAAACAAAATGGCCGCCCGCTCTTTTCTGGCACGGATTCCTCGCGGCACAGGCAGCGAAAATGGCCGTGCTATGGAGGATCTTCACTGGACGGTGAGTTTCAAGCCCCTAGGAACGCATTAATCGGGTTTTAATGCGTTTCTATGGGCTTTTTAAAATTGCATTACGACGTTTTCGTTTTACAGCGATTTCGCTGGAATGAATTAATGTCGTAATGCGAGGCACCACTGTATTTAGGAACAGCTTCGCTCCTCTGTGCCCCTTCCCCCAAACTCACTGCTATCATGCTGGTTTTAAGAGGGTGAAACCGTCCTTCTTTCCCAGCAAGCGCAGAAGAGTAGCAAATTGTAGGCACCGAACCCCCCAAGACATTATGATATCCTGGCATGGACCATAGAGAGCTTGAATCCTTTCCAAAATACACATATGGGTCTGGTTTCCATATTCTGTACCAAGCTGCCAAACTCCATTTCTCTGGGTTCAGAGGGTTGATGGAGGAAAACACACACTCCTGCTTAGAATTCATAATACCAAGTATTTCTGCAGCGTAAATCACCTCTCAGGAATTCACTACTACCACAGTGACATCAATTGATAGAATAGAACAACGAGAAGAACACTGAACAAGCTGAGAAACAATTTCAGGGATACTCCCATACAATTTGAAAAAAATCCAGGCGACATGTTAACAACATCCCCAACTCAGAAGAGGGATCAGCCTGTTTTAATCCACCTGTCACAGGCACAGAGTTTTATCACTTTCTTCTTTGATTTAGCTTTCAATATCCAAAACCAAGGCAAGATCCAGCAGTGTTATTTCAGTATCCAGCACAAAAGGAATGGGAATTGTTCCCTCCTTCCTGCTGACCAAAATCTGGTCGATAAGTTTTCCCAACCTTCTGATGCAGATGTGTTGAGTAGATGGGGGGAGGGAGATCTAGAGGAGGAAGAAGGGAGTCTGATTTTGAGTGTGCAAATAGAACAGAGATGGAACGGAGCTGCACAGGGCCGATTCCAAACACAACTTACACTTTCAGCAGCTCAATGGTCACGGGCAACGATCTTGTTCTGCCCAAGGTCCCATTATCTTCGTAGGAGCCTTCACTCTCAAAGAGCAGCGAGTGAGCCCAGTGTGAACCCTCGGGAGGGGGTGTTGCTGGTAGAGGACTTGCAAGAGCTTGCTGGATACGGATGTGAAGGGGGAGTTGGGGCAGCCGGGTAGGTAAGCGAGGCTCTTCGAATCCATGCTCCCCCATTCCCCTGGCTGGCATTGGCAGCTCCTCCGGCTGGGCGTCCGTTTGCAGTTCTGTGTAAAGAGGAGGATCTGCCCCATGAAGGGAGGGAGGCAAGGGCATGTAGGGAGGCTCCAGGACAATGCCAGAAGGTCGAGGGAGTGAAGGGGAGGGGGGTGGGAGAGGGGGTGATATTGACGAAGGATACGATGAGGACAGGCTGTGATCACTCGGCGATTTGGGAGTGGCAGCCAGCTCAAGGGAAGAGGCCGTGTTCAGTGGGACACCTCTCTTTGGGGGCAAAGGAGGAGAGGACTTTGAAAAAACCGTGCCACTGGCGAGAGCTTGAGACAATTCAGCTGAAGGAAGAGAAAGAAAGAGAAAGAGAGAGTTGTTACTATTGAAAGAGCAAATTTTTCATCACCAAAAAGGTTTAAGAAAATACAGTGGTGCCTCGCTTAACGAATGCCTCGCTCAACAATGAATTCGCATAACGATGGCCTTTGCTGGAAATTTTGCCGCCTCACCTAACGATGTTTCCCTTCGTTAAAGTAATTTGGCTTCGTTCTGAGTCTTTTTGAATTTTTGGTGATTTTTTTTCACCATTGAAATGTATTAAATAGGCTCCTATTGGAACGGATTAACCGGTTTTCAATGCATTCCTATGGGAAATTGTGTTTCGCTTAACGATGTTTTCACATAACGATGTTTTAATGGAACCAATTAACATCGTTATGCGAGGCACCACTGTAGCTAGATTGAAAAAATGAACATTCATCCCCCCCCCAACCCAAATCTAGATCATTTCAAAGTCTTAGACCAGTTTTAACCAACTTGCTACTCTCCAGATCTGCTGAGACTACAATTCTCAACTTCCCCAATCAGCACATCCTTCTTTCTGTGCCGGTTCTGAACCTGACAACCTTTGCAAGCATCTAAAAACATTCAATATGTATATTTGTCTGGGAAGAGATGTAGTTTGAGAACAGAGCAAAAGCTTTGGATGCAGAAGAAGCCAGCTGCATTGCCTTAGCACCTGAATGCAGGACTAAGAAGGACCCCATCTGAAACGCCAAAGAGTTAATGCCAATTCAGAATTTGGCTAGATGGACTAATGATCTGACTCCGTAGGAAGCAGCTTGTGTTCTTACAAATACATTAGCGGGGAAGGGAAGTGACTGAGAGGCCTTAGTTTACAGGTCCTGATGGGACTTCTTACATACCAAGATCTAAGTCTAGAGTTTGAATCTGAAATCTTCCTTCTTTCTGGTAGAACACCTGTTAGACCCATTGGTGACAGGAGAAAAGTTGCGGACTAATTTTATGGACACTGATTTCTTTGTTAAACGCACCATTAAACCTTTCACCTGTTTCAAAGTTTTAAAAGCCTCCTGGTTTTGTTGTGGAGACGAAAGATTCCAAGTCTGAACCATCACAATTTGCAGCACCATGTTATCAACAGCATGTTTGAAAAAACGGAAAACGGGAAAAATTAAAACGGTCTTGCTAATTTCGGGAAACAGCCCTGACAACAAATGATATAAAGCGGAATATAAACATCCAAACCGATAAAATAAAACAAACACCTTTAGCTTTCTTCCCATCTGCACAGAACCAGTACCAATGAGAGAGAAAAATAAAATAAGGGAGGACCTGGAAATTAAGCAACAGGCGATGTGCACCAAAAAACGAGCCACTTACCTATTAAGGGATTGCTACTCCTATTCACTGGTTTGGGAGGTGGGACAGGGGGCTGTTTGGGTAATGTTACATTGGTTGTATTCACGACAGCAGTGGTGTGAGCGTTCACAACGGGAGACGGCACAGTTCTGGGGGCTGGGGAAGGAGCAGCGGGAAAACTGACTCCTTTCGCTGAACTGCTGATAGCCCCTGGTGTCGAGAGCGGGATAGTCCTTGCCGTGCTGTTAACGGGAGCAAGATCCTTCGTTGGCGGATAACTCGTCTCCTGAGAAGAGGACGACAAAGGTCGCTTCGGAGGAAGCAACGGTTGCTTCGGCGCCTGAGACTCATGGTGATGTTCTGCTTCTGAACCGGGATGGCTGCCGAGCGTTCCTGTTAAGAAACATCTTTTCAAATGACTCTTACAGCAATGTGTACAAATGCCCATCTTATATCTGTGTTCGCTTCTAGTAGACGTTTGCATTTTTAAAGGAAGACTTTACTATCGTCGCTATGATTATCATTATCACTTATGCTTATTAGATTAGATTAGGCATCCTTCAGTCTCGAAAGACTACGGTAACGTGCTCTGTATGGAGGGCTTGGAACAGCGTCTAGTGTGGCTGAGAAGGCCAATTCGAGAGGGACAATCCCTTCCACACTGAAGACAAATACAATCTGTCCCCTGTCCAGCTCCCTGATTTTGCTGGTTTCGGGACTGCCTCTTTGCCTTGGCCTGCTGGACAAGGGTCTCTTCAAATTGGGAGAGGCCGTGCTGTACCGCCCGCCTCCAGGCTGAACACTCAGATGCCAAGGTTTCCCATCTGTTGAGGTCTATTCCTAAGGCCTTCAGATCTCGCTTGCAGATCTCCTTGTATCGCAGCTGTGGTCTCCCTCTGGGGCGATTTCCCTGCACTCATTCTCCATACAGGAGATCTTTTGGAATCCGACCATCAGCCATTCTCACAACATGCCCAAGCCAATGTAGACATCGCTGTTTCAGTAATGTATACATGCTAAAAATTCCAACTTATATACGGCTAGTAATTCAAGGCACCACATAGAGCTCTCCTCTTTCTACTGTATCCTCAAATTAACCCTGTGAGGTAGGAACAGGCTGATAAAAAGCATGGCTTAAAGTGGCCCAGGGAGGCTCAGTGGAACCTGAACGTGAATCTCTCAAGTCCTAGGCCTAGCACACACTTACTTTGAAGACTTGAAGGAGATGTTCACACCATCTAAGAGTCTAGTCCATCTTCCTATTGCCTGTGAAGATTTATGCCACAACTCTCTATAACTTTATTTGCAGAGTCGACTTTCTGCCTCTGATGAAACAGGTAACTACCTATCTAGGCTTACACCACAAAAAATGACTCTTTAGGCACTTTGTTTGGAGAACCACAGACTAAAAGCATCTCCTACTGGTAGTTTTTGTGCTCTTGACTGGACAGTGTGGCCATGTCGGGGAAAGATCATTTCCCTCAGGATACCTCCTCAAAGAGGCTGGGGTGTAGCTCGCACCTCCCATGCTGGCCTCTACTCGCGATTAGGAACCAGCACGAGCCGCATTATCCTGTATGGCAAAGATCAAAAGCGGCAATAGTTCTCAGATTCTATATTTTGAGCAGGATGGGCCGAGTGCAACCCTAAAGATGTTGCTGACTACAGCCCCAGCATTTTTCGCTGTTGACTATGCTGGCTGAAGGGAAATGCAGTCCAACAGCCAAAGTATTGCACTTTGTTCTGCCATTCAGAATGTTTGAAAAGTTTTAGAATTTCAGCAGTTAAGACAATCACTGGCCTAAATCAAATAGTGAGTTGAAACTAGAGTAGGCCCCTTTAATCAACAGAATTTACAGAAGAACTGGCTCACTGAATCCCAATGATTCAGTGGACTTATTGTATTTGATCACTGCTACTGGATTTCAGCCACTGAGTAGTTTTATAATGCAATTTTATCTTACATTTCCATTATTACTGGTTAGCTATGTTTGTATCCCATGCCTGATCTCAGAGAGCAGTTCCAAATAATAGTGGACGTATTATTCGGGCCACTATTGCATGCAGTATCCTGGATAAGACAAAGCACAGAATCTTTTTCACTCTTCTTCAACAAGGACACCAAGGATTCATTGAGCATGGTTGCAGTGCCAGCCAAAGACCTTCTGCTGCCTAGAGTGGAGGACAAGATGGCAACTTCATCCATCCCATACACGAAGCCAACCAGGTTGACTGGTGACACAGCAATGACCTCTCTTGCACCAGAGAGGAACAGATTAGGGGGAGAGCCCATGTGACATATGTACGTATCTGTCTCATTCTGCTTAGTGATGGGACCAAACGTATATTGCTGGATGAGAAGGACTTGATGCTTGTGTTTGTCAGTCTATGTCCAAAGTACTGAGCTAAACAGACCAAAGGTCTGACTATGAGACTGCTTCCAATGTTATGATATCTTACCAGTATTACTAATTATTTGTTATATTAATATAATAATGAAATCAGAGTTCCCCTTTTTGTAATGTAAAGTAGGTCAGGCCGAGAGTGGCTCAAGGTCATCCAATGAGTTTCATGGCCAGGTTGAAATTGGAACTCAGGGTCAACCTGAATCCTAGTCTAACTCCAAGACACCAAAGTGTCCCTTAAGCCTCTTTTAAATATCTCCTGATTTGCATTTGACTACTACCCACAGAAATGGAGAGGAGAGAGGGGCTAGGTGGAAGAATGTTTAAAGCTGTTTACTGCAAGAAAAAGCCACAACGATTGGTGGCAATTCCCAAACAAGAGGTCCATCATCAGCACAGTGTAAGCAGGAGAGAACAAGGAAAGATAAACTAGGTGGGACCAGGAAGCCAAGATGTAAGTAGCTTGTGTGAGACTGCCCGCTCCCGCATACTGCTATGTTCACAAGAAGAAGCTGATACAGTGGTGCCTTGCTTAACGATTGCCCCGCATTACGACAAATCTACTTTACGACAATCTTTTTGTGATCGCAATTGCGATCACAAAACGATGGTCTAAATGGGGGAATTTCGCTTTGCGATGATCGGTTCCCTGCTTCGGGAACTGATTCTTCGCAAAATGATGTTTTTCTAACAGCTGATGGTCGGTTTCAAAATGGCCACCAGGTAATTAAAATGGCTCCCCACTGTGTTTAGGGACGGATTCCTCGCTATACAGGCAGTGAAAATGGCTGCCGTATGGAAGATCTTCGCTGGATGGTGAGTTTTTACCCCATTGGAATGCATTGAACGGGTTTCAATGCGTTTCAATGGGTTTTTTAAATTTCGCTTTCCAATGATTTCGCTTAACGGCGATTTTCCTGGAATTGGATTATCGTCGTTAAGCGAGGTACCACTGTATCTGAACAAATGCATTTCACAGACAATCTTCTCACCTGTCAAGTTCTTCAGCTCCTCTGTCAGAGCAGTTTTGTTAAGGCTTACACTGTTGTTCCCAGTCTCTTCCTCCAGGTGAGTGAGGCTGACAATCCCAGAACGGTCAACGGAGGTGGTGTGCCCGTTTTTCAAGGCAGTAAGGCTTAGTTTGCCTGGCTCCTCTCCATCTATTAGGATTGCATGTGCGGTGGAAGAAGGGGAGAATTAAACAAAATTGTGCCAAACAAAGCACAGCTCAAGTTTAAAAAAAAAACAGTCAGGAAAGGAGGCAGTAAGAATTACAGCTCATGTCAATAGCCTTATAACCAAGCATCTATAGTCTACAAACTGATATTAGTGGCTAAGGAAGAAAGAGGCAATTCTGTGTTTATATGTGCACCCAGGTAAGGGACCAGCAGTGTACTTCCTGAAGAATGAGTGTACTGTATAGCTTTTTGAAGCTGGAAAAGTGCCAAATGTGATTTTTTTAATTATTTAGGACAAGTCCTACATAGGAAAGAAGAGTTAGTCTACAGTGGACACAGAGTATATGTTTTAACTGGAAACCAGTCATCTATAATAAATCATAACAGTAGAGGGTGCAGAGATGGGAAGCAACTATTAATGTATGTTTGGTTAAAAAAAAACATGGGGCCATAGCCAGCCCAAAGGGGAGTACCATACACTGGTATGGTTGGGTGCCAAGGATAAAGCAAAGAAACAAGTAGCAATGAAGATGAATTCCAGTGCAAAAAATAGGCATCCCAGAGTGTCATAGTAGTAAATAAGTCTCTTTAGAGAAGGAGAGATAAAATGGATCTGAGAGTCACTATCCTGAACTTTTTGGTGATAATGTAGTCATTGATGTCCTGTGGGCCACCTTTTTGTTTTTGTTCTTTGAGCACTCTAAAGTAACCGGAACAGATCCTGTTGGGGTTGTTGGTGTGGAAGACTGGCTCAACTGCTTCCTTCTCTAAAAGGGTAAGCATGTCCCCATCAAATCCAGATGAAGGCATGAGTAACAGAGAACAGCTGGATAGCACAGTGATTTAGGCATCTGGCTGTGTAGCCAGATGTTGGGAGTTTGATACTCCACTGTACCTCCTTGAGAGGGGCTGGACTCAGTGATCCATAGGGCTCCTTCCAGCTCTGCAGTTCAAAGGTTATTAACAGGTGAAAAGAGAGTCCAACTCTACAGAGTAACCTTCTGCCATGATGCATAGGTCTGTTGGACTCTGCTTGGAGGAAGGAGGGGGAGGTGATCTTCAAAGTAGGGGCGCTGGGTGGTAACAACAACAACAACAACAACAACAACAACAACAACAACAACAACAACAACAACAACAACAACAACAACAACAACAACAACAACAACAACAACAACAACAACAACAACTGTGTAGCCACACTCAGGGGACAAAGATAATATTTTAAAATGCCTCCTATTCTGACCTGACTTCCCCGTGATGAAGGAAATGCCTCATTTTTTGTAGAAAATCTTGCTGTTTCCTGAAATAGGCATAGATTTACAGCTTTAAT